TTGATCAGTGCTGTCCCATCAAAATGTGAAATATCTCCCCCAGAGGGGCTTTCTTGTGAGAGCTACAAATTTTGTTTTCTGCCAACTTTTACAATAACAGGACTCGTAGGGTTGATGGCATATAAACATGTATATAGACTCTCAGTATGATAGATGAAAATGAAAAAAAGTCCAAACTAAATCTAGTGAAACAATTCTAAACAGTGAATTTTTACTAGAATTGTACTCTTGACTGTGCACAAGAAAAAGACAGTCATACGATGATTTCAAAGGCAACCATTCCTGTCTACGAGAGTAGCAAGATAATGAATGATAAATGTAAAACTTTTTAAATGATGATCATGCTCTTGATGCCTGGCCTGCTTGTTGCATCTGCATCATCTGCATCTGTATCATCTTGTCTCTCATCACATCAATGACAGCTGCAAAAGAGTTTGACATTTATCAGCTCTGATCATGTATAAAACCACAAAACAAGAAATTTTCAGACCTCCAGGAAGTCTTAAAAATTAATGTGTTTTTGTGACCATCAAGTTTACAGATGTCTGGGCAATTTCAGACGATTTCATAAACTACCCGGTAACGAAAAATGTGTACCTTGTTTTTTTGTGGCCCTGTCCTGGAGTAAGGGTTGTATTTTCTCCATCTGTTGGGTGCAAAACTCAACTTTCCTCTTGAAGTAGGCTTTAGCTTCATCTGTTGTCTGCCAGTGAAATAAAACATTTTGTTGATTCAGAGACCAAAATGCAGGGGATGTATTGGTTATTTAGACAAGAAGCAATACATTTTCTTACATGACTCTGACAAAAAATTAATCATATTGCAATTCCAGATTTTTGCCTACAAACCAATTTTCATAGAAAATTCTAGATTTTTGTAAAATGTACTATTTTGTCCCCTTAGACCTAGTCCCAACACACAAGGCAATCTGAGAAGGCAAACTTCACTCCATCATCACCCATACAGGTCCAGACTTGTACCTGCGAAGTTTAATCTCCATGCAGATCCTAGCGTGATATAAGAGTCAGTATCAAATTGGCCAGGCAGTATCCATTGGCCAGAGAGGGTCCAATACGCCACCCAAGATTTGCAGAAAGTCACAAGCATCAATGCATCATAAACCTAATCACTCCAATACATTACACAGCAGTCATTCTACAAGTATGTACAAACTGCAAAGCAGCCTGGGCTAACCACCGGTCTACTGTCTGCAGGCTACAACAGTATTTCTAACTTGTTTTGCACTGTGTTCAAACTCCTTAATTCTCCTGTAGTTCTTACTTTTGCAATGGAATCAAGAGCAAAGAAAATGGAAAAAATGAGAAAAAAATGGCGGTATTTTTTTTCACAATTTCTGGCATGCGTCCTTGGCACCGCATCCAGATGCAAACCATTCGGTTAAAGAGATTTCAAGTTGTGGATACAAAATGACACAACAAGTATTTACTTAATAAACGGACAATCAGTTGAAAAATAAAATACAACTAGGGATTATTAAAAGTGCTATTGGTGTATAATTGAAAAGCCTATTTGTTGATACGTAAATGCTTTTATGCCTTGTAATGTGTACAATCTCTGTGGTATTTTCTCTACGGGGGTGGGGGGTGGGGGGGGGAGGCTCCCGGAATACCACTGTGAAGTGGCACAGCTTGCTGCGTTTGTCCTAGATACAGGCCTTAAGGCATGACGAGGTTGTTTAAGGATCATCCCTGTTGTTGGACTTAAGTAAACACGTTTCTGGTAAGTTTCTGGAAAGATTGTCCCTCCCCGTGTCCTTGTCCTGTGTGACTTTCTACAGATTCTTGGGTGGCGTATTGGACCCTCTCTGGGCAATGGATACTGCTTGATACTGTCTTATGCCAACCTAGGTTCTGCATGGTAGAATTTTCGTGTAGAAATATTGACATCACTAACCTTTTCCACATAATATCCAGTACCAATGTCCACCATGACACATTTTACATCAGACAGGTGACCAGGTACATACATCTGTAGGGAGGCTCAGGAAACATCCAAATTTCTTTTGTCTCAGGATTGAAAGTCTATTACAGAACTGACTGTCAAAAAGGATCTGCACGTATGGCAAAACTTTGTGTCAGTGTTCTCACCAGGATTTTTTCACAGCATAGCTTTCGCGGTGCAAGTCGCGTATTGAGCCTAATATTTTGAAACTCATAACCCCCTGAGACACTATTTCTCACTTATTGGGGGACAGATTTTGTAAAGTTAAGGTTTTCCCTTTGCCTTAGCTTCAATCTAAATCTTATATTTTCCTTTTTTGAATTTGATTTATGAAGGTTCCCCAAATATGCTGCTTGAAAGACAATATAGGGGTCCAAATCACAGCATAGGGGGCCCCTATGCTCAAAAGGCCTGGCGAGAATACTGTTTGTGTATATCACAAAACTGACAGTATGTCATTAAAAAACACATTATCTACACCTTCAGATTTTTGAATGAAACTTTTGGAAGCCTGGGTGTGTTACACTGAAGGGCACCCTTCAGAGACAGATGCAGATATACAGAGCTACAGTATACAGATACAGCTACATGTAGTTATCACACAGGCTGGGACTTGTATTGAAAAATCTTGGCCCAGCTATGACACAATGTCCAAGAACTAGCAATAAACCAGATTTGCATCATTAAGAAAAAAAATCACAATTTTCAAAATTTTGTAAAGATTGATAACAGCCGTTACGGGAGCTGAACATTGTACTAGTACATGTACGTAATGAAGGATACAGAGCTTGTCAGTGGTACCAGGATTTCCTTCCCTGGAATTCAAAGGAAAATAACTCATTAGCATCACCTCAATAAAGTGAGCAACTTTTTTTTTGATTATCCAGAAAAGAATACAGTAATTCCTGATTTCTTCACGTTACTTTTATGTTCGCAATTTTAGCGGCCACTTCTGTACCGCGAACTTATCATTACCGTGAACAAATAATTCGGCAACTTTCCCTTTTCTGCACCTGCTGCCACCATGAACATAGCCTGGGTACCATCCTGGTTAGTTTACGTCCGCTCCTACAGTCGCTACCACCAACCTCAGGATGGTACCCAGGCTACCATGAACATAGCCGTGGACGACTCTGTAACCCTTTTTGCATGATAATGCCGGGTACATAGTCGTGGTGCGATCCATAGGCCAAAACCAACCTTTGCCGTGCCGGGCCTCATGCAACGGGCTGGCCCCGGTTTTTTGGTGTCGCTGGCTTCCTAACGCACTCACCTGCCGGGCCGGGGGGATAAGACCCTAAACAAACGCAGCATTTAACCACAACACGGCCTCGGAGCACGTAACTCCATACAAATCATCGGCGATCGGCGCCATATTGAATTCAGGAATCGGTCCGCAAACAGGCCGGGCCCTGAGTTTACGACAGTTATTTTCAACTCTCCAACGTTCAAGCTGCAAGTATGTGACGTAATTTGTCGTAAAC